GGAGGAATATCATGCTCCTATTCGCAATGCTATCAGTTATGAACACCTCCTCCAACATTCTGAAACCCTTGTCCTTGACACACAACAGAAAAGAACCGCAACAAAGATGAGGATCATGTTCCATTCGATAACATAGGCTCTGCATTACTGCGGAGCATGTGACAGAATCAGCCAAAAACACAAATACTAAAAAGGCCTGCAGAGTGCCGCAGAAAGAAAACTTTACCAGAAATGCCCGCAGAGCGCTGAGTCAACAAAACAAGAGCTAAACAGTCAAAGCAAAAGAAGTAGCCACAGCTGTATACCATCAAGAAAAGCTCATCCACTGGTCAGCCCACCCTGCTATGCAGTCTCTGTGGCATCTTGCGAAATAGCAGCATGCAGGAACCACTTTTCACTGGTCCATTTAGCGACCAAAGACTTACACTGGAACAATCAGATGCCTCCCTATGCTGTGAGTCATTCGATTCATTTTCACCGCCAATACCTCCGGGCGTCTTTTTCCCAATGCACGCTTTCACCTGCCTCTAGAATATCGAATCATCAAGGGCAAGGCATTACTGGGAGCCACCAGCCCTTTTGAATGGGTAGGACGAGCCTTTCCACAGCACTGTGATAACCAGTGCATTTTCACAGGTAGCCGGATAAGCTAATGGTGGTTTAAGAACTGGTTTGGCAAATTCACACACCAAACTTTAAGTCACCTTAAAAAATAAAAATTTGGTGACTTCAAGAAAGTGAAAATTGCATTTACAAATTGATCGAAGGCGATTCTGGGATAGTACGCAAGCCAGGTGTTGCTTGGAAGTTCAAATCATTTTTTAGTAAATTTTTGTATCACAGACGTTTTTGAAGTTTTTTTAGCTTTTTTGAAGGTTTATCCCGGATTTCTTTTTCTGGACCTTTGGGGCACGTGAGTGTGGTGCACTAGTGCCATGTCAGTGAGCTGCACTTACGCATTCTGTGCACACGTCATTTGCTGTAATGCTGATTAATATGGTTTACTCACTTTGCTTGCAATCAGACTCGCTTTCTTTTCCACTTCGCATTCACACAAACAGATGGCAAGTCACACACTGGCGCTTAGCGCCCACTCAAAGCTCAGAGATATGGAAGTCGGAAACACAGTTCAGATACATGCTCGCTTCAACAGGCTATGGCGCATCAGCGCCTGTACAACTCTCTGTTCGTCACTGTGCTCAACTCCGCTGTTCACACACACTCAACTCAGGATCACCCTGGATATCCCACACGCGACACACTGTATCACACACATGCACACACTACACTCGCCTACCACCTACGGGCTATGGCCGCTTAACCCTTCTGGCTATGGCTACGCAACCTCTACTGTGCCCACTTCGTCTTTGGGTGCTCTGCAGACCACCTCGCACAAGTCGCTCAAGCAGCACTTCCGCATGGCTTATGCAGGAATGAATGAATGGCTGGGCCCTGCCTCCTGATTTATACTTCTGTAACTCGTTGGTCTGCCCCTTTTCCATGCCCTTGGTGCACACAGTCCCATACGGTACTTGCTTGACTGGACTCTGACTGACTGGGACCGGTACCGCTGACTCAGCATGGGTGGACCTCACCACTTGCCCACTTCCCTCTGGTCTGCTGTGAGCAACGTCTGAAGGGCCACTTCCGGCCCTTCGGGAAGTCTGTGGACTTGGCCCTTCGACACTGTAGCAGCTACGACCTTGACCTTTCAGGACTGTAGCAGCTACGACCTTGACCTTTCAGAAATTCTACAGCTACGACTTCTAGAACACACTAAGACCTCTATCCGACAGGTCTACAGATCGAACCCCTATAACCTACGGACCCAACGACAGCCTACCGACTGTTACGAATACACAGGTCACGGGGTCGACACAGGTAGTGTACACAGGTAAGGTAAGGACTAGAGACCGAGCCCTGGGATCTGCATTCGCTACTGCTAACAGGTGAATACCGTTTCACTCCCGCCGGCCTAAATTCGAGGTCCTCCGAGAATAACTCAGTCCAAGATCAGATTTTTACCTTTATTTTCTCTCTCTTAGGCTCTATGTAGGGAGCTGTTTCTAGAAGTTCAGTTCTAGTAAACCAGCGGTCGTCCTCGGGTTCCTGATAAGCAAATCGGACCTTATACTGTTTCTGTGGATGACCTCTACCCCCTGTTCTGAATACGTCTTCGCCTACAATGCCTTCAATGTCATACCTTCCATCCATGTCCGGAGGGATCATGGATCTTCTTGATGGNCCTCTACCCCCTGTTCTGAATACGTCTTCGCCTACAATGCCTTCAATGTCATACCTTCCATCCATGTCCGGAGGGATCATGGATCTTCTTGATGGAAACTGTTGGCTTGTGACACACGACACCAACTTTGACGCATGGAACACAGGGTAGGTGTGAAGGTGTGCTGCGATCTCTACCGTGTAGGACGGCCCATCCTCTCCGCCCTTAACTTCTAGAACTGGCCACGGTCCTCTGTATGCGGGCAGCAACTTTTGCGAAATGTTCCCCTCAGAAGCAAATTCTTTGGACTTGACCCAGACAAGGTCGCCTACTTGGAACTCTGACGGGCGATGATGCTTATTTGCCTGTTCTATCATTCTGTGTTGGGCCTTCCTGAGTTTTCAACAACGCTAGCTAATTCTTTCTCGTGCTGCATTGCAAACTCCCTAGTACCGAGTGGTAGCCTTTGAATCTGATCCCGGTTAAGTCCCTCAAATGGTTTGTGCGGTCTAAAGGACTTGTGCAACTCATTGGGAGTACGACAGGTGGCTAAATGCACGTTATTGTTATACGCACCGGCTACCTTGGGCAACATTTCATCCCAGTTGATCTGATCCGGTCATGAACAGAACTTGTTGCAGGATTTTATTCATTTGCTCCGTCTGGCCGTTGGTCTCTGGATGACGGCTAGATGACATTAACAACTTTGACCCATAGACTATCATCAATTCCTGCCAGTTCTGACTAGTGAACTGGGTGTCTCTATCGTTAACTATAGACAGCGGAATCCCGTGATCACTAACCCAATGATAAAAAAACTTATGAATTACTAAATCAGTATGTGCCTCTGCAGGCAAAGGAACAAAAACTGCGTATTTACTAAACCTGTCAACTATAACCATGACTTGGCTCTTGCCGTACCTACTCTTGACGCTAGCATCCATGAAATCAATGGACACTGAGTGGCCAGGGTGGTTAGGAATAGGCAGGGGTCGAAGAAGACCTAGAGGGGCACGCGTAGTAGTCTTATTCCTTTGACAGACTTTACAACTGCGAACGTACTCTATACAGTCGGCCTTCATCCCTGGCCAAGTATACGCGTGCATTAAGTTGGCTAAAATCTTCTGCCAACTAAAATGTCCCTCGGTGTCGTGGCATTCCCCCAAGACCAAACTACGAATCTCCTCACTGTTAGGAACGCATAGATAGTCTACTACATTGGTCTTCTCGAACAATAATCCCTCTGTAGTGCGGTAATCGGGTTCAGTCTCTGGGGCCTCCTTAACTTTCTTGAGAAGGTCACTATAAGTAGGGTCCTGCGCATACGCCTGTCGTACTTTCTCTTGCAGGTCTCTCCCTATATCCAGATAATGAACTATAGCTCCAAAGTAGTCTGATCTCCTGCTTAGAGCATCCACAACTACATTGTACTTGCCTTTGACACGCTTGAGCTCAAAGTCATACTGGTCTATTTCAGCGGCCCACCTAGTTAGCTTAGGTGTCATCTTGGCCTGCGTTTTCAGCCACCTAAGAATCTTGTGGTCTGAATATACTTTGAAGTGTCTGCCAAGCAGGTAATGCTTCCAGTGTTCTAAAGCCTGCCTGAGAGCGTAGAGTTCTCTCTCATGCGTCGAGGTGGCTACCTTCTCTGAGGGCACCCTCGCTGACATGAACTCTACGGGTCTAGAGCAATTGTCGTCGTCCTACTGCAACACGGCGCCTATGCCATGTTGACTCGCGTCTGTGGTGACGACAAATGGCAAGGACGGATTTGCTACCTTGAGGACAGGGTACTCTATCAACGCGCGCTTTAACTTCTTAAGCGTGGACGTACAATCTTTGTCCCACGTCCAAATCGTTTCTTTCTTTAGCAACCTGCAAAGGGGTGCGGCGATAGTAGAAAAGTTTCTCACGAACTTTCTATAATAGTTAGCTAGGCCTAAAAACGACCGCAATTCTGTCAGTGTGAGGGGCGTTGGCCAATCTCGAATCGCCGCTATCTTGTTATCCTCAGGCTTACTCCCATCTCCGTCTAAAATGTGGCCCACGTACAAAACTTGTGTCTTGGCCCACTCACACTTCTTCGAATTGATCTTGAAGTTAGCCTCTCTCAGCTTCTCCAAGACCTGCCTCAAATGACCCTGATGCTCTTGGAGGGTCTTATTGAATACTAATATTTCATCCAAATAGACAACTACAAATCTATCTAACCAAGGTCTGAACACATTGTTCATACAGCGCTGAAATGTGGTTAGCGCATTGGTCAGTCCAAAGGGCATCATTATGAACTCGTAATGCCCATATCTAGTCCGGAAAGCAGTCTTGTACTGGCCATCAGGATGAACCTCTATCTGATGATACCCAGATTTCAAATCTATCGAAAAAAATTTGCAGCCCTGCACTCGGTCTAAGAGATCGTCTATCCCGGGCAGCGGCTCAACATTCTTTACTGTGATCGCATTCCGACCCCTATAATCTATACACATACGTAACTCTCCCTCCTTTTTGGGGACAAATAACACTGGTGCTCCAAAAGGAGACGAACTGGGCCTAATCCAACCCTTTTCGAGGAGCTCATCCAACTGCTTGCGCAGCTCCTCTAACTCCCTTGGGGACATCCTATAGACTGCTCCCTTAGGAGTCCTACTGCCAGGCTCTATCTCTATACGGTGCTGGATCGGCCGCGACACAACCCCTGTCGGCGGCTCTGCTAAGTCCTTAAACTCTTCCAGCAGCTTGGCAATGGTTGGGCACTGCCTCCTGATTTATACTTCTGTAACTTGTTGGTCTGGCCCTTTTCCATGCCCTTGGTGCACACACTCCCATACGGTACTTGCTTGACTGGACTCTGACTGACTGGGACCGGTACCGCTGACTCAGCATGGGTGGACCTCGCCACTTGCCCACTTGCCTCTGGTCTGCTGTGAGCAACGTCTGAAGGACCACTTCCGGACCTTCCGGAAGTCCGTGGACTTGGCCCTTCGACACTGTAGCAGCTACGACCTTGACCTTTCAGAAATTCTACAACTACGACTTCTAGAACACACTAAGACCTCTGTCCGACAGGTCTACAGATCGAACCCCTATAACCTACGGACCCTACGAAAGCCTACCGACTGTTACGAATACACAGGTCACGGGTTCAATGCTCGGGGTCGACACAGGTAGTGTACACCGGTAAGGTAAGGACCAGGGACCGAGCCCGGGAATCTGCATGCGCTACTGCTAACAGGTGAATACCGTTTCATGCTTGGTATATGATTGGATGTGAGCAATCTCGTTTTTTCTTTTTAATTGTGGTCCTTTGTGTGTAATGAACCCAATCAGATGAGAAGCTCAAACATGTCGTGATGCAAGTCTGATACAGCGCAATACTGCTGTCTCCAACAATCGATTGTAAGTCGAAGGAAAAGTACGTGAAATCTCTCATCATCCCGTAGAGACTGGGGAGAATAGACAGATAGGAGGAGGAGGAGAGAGTCCCACGTGAATCAATAGTTCCCTCGTCTTGCCCACTTCCTCCTTGGGCATCTCCCACTAACACCAACTCAGCAAATCAGCACTCCTCTAACGATCTCTGACATATACTTGTGCAGGTCACATCAATGCGTCCATCCTCAGTCCACGTCAGCAACAGCTAATGAGGACGGCGCAGGTCCTCTTGAAGACAACCAGCAGATCACCCTTCACGTAACAGGTAAGTCCAGGTAAGCCTCTCCTCATCACACACGCCAACTCCACAGTCCAGCTCCTCCTCCTCCTCGCCTCCTCTCCTATCAATGTCAACTCCACACGGCTATGGCCGCATCAACATATCCACCCTACTGGCTGGCGCCCAGACTCAGACACTGGCACCAGCATAATGTTCCCGCAGGCTTGCGTCGTTAAACCAGCATCAAGCCAGTGCAAGGCGGAATAATCTCCAGCAGGGGCTGGGTCAACTTTATAATGTTGACTCCCGTTGACCAGCCTCTGGTCTCCTCTTGTCGACCGTCGAGATGAATCAGCAACTGATGGCCTGGATGCAGCGCAGTCCGAATTCCCTTTGTGTCCCAGTAGGACTGGAATCTTCTGGATACCTGCAGACAACCAAAGATGTGCATCTGATCGACGGCCGTGGCTGACCAGCGGCTTGACTTTGACCCCTGGGCCTGGAGTCCAGTACTTGGGTTGACTGTTGACTTTCCCAAGGTCAACTGTTGCCCCTAGGGCCTCAAAAGACCGTTTTTGACTTGGCCTGGGGTACCCCATGGCCTTAGGCCCTTTCCCCGACTGTTCTCAGACTTGGGGCGTGACTTTTGCCTCTTTATGCGGACCTTTGACCACAAGAATCGACCTCTGGCCCATGTCCACGCGGACGCTGAACGTGGGTTATTGCATGTGGACCATTTTACATTTGTGTGTGTCTTGGGCAGGGTCCATGCTAATCTTTTCTATCTCCGTATTGTTCTGATTTTAATGGATGTATGGAAGGGCACAGTAGATGATTTTGTTTTTCCTTCTCTTTTTTTGGGTCTTTGCGATGACGTTTGCCATCCCAGTCCCTATGCAGATCAGTGGTAGCTCTGTAGCTGATGATAAACGTTGGCCAGTACACTTGAACAAAAAAGTGATAGTAGATAGCTGAATTGAGCCACCGTATCCAGAGGCCTAGCTCATTTGGTAAGGCACGCAAATGGCATTCAGGAGGTCTTGGGTTCAATTTCCATTGGCCTCACATACCTTCCTGGGCAAGCTCTTTGCCCGCCACCTAGAGATAGGCCATTGGTCCCCCCCGAGTGGCATTTAGCAGAGGCTGCTGATGTTCATAGGGAGAGGGGACCGGAGGGGAGGCACAGCGACAAGCCCATCGAAGAAGCTCGGTCCTGATGCTACCGACTGACCCCTGGCCGGTATCGCCCACCTGCTGTGGCATGTTTCTTATAGTGCTGGTGGGTGCAGCTCCCACATGTTACCTCGTTGGAGGCTTGAGCATGGATGTGGCTGTTACGGGGTTCCACGTAATACTATAATGACAATAAATTGTCGAACGCTTCTGACCAATTGCTACATACACACAATAAAGCTTTTCTTTCTCAGAGGCACCTTTTGCATTGATCTGCTTCTGAAAGTTCTGATTCAGTATAGTATCAATAGCTATAGCAGTCTTACCTGTTTGTCTATCTCCAATAATAAGTTCTCGTTGACCATGACCTATTGGAACAAGGCTATCCACCGCTTTTATACCTGTTTGGCTCGCGTAAAACATAAATCTTGGGTTTATGAAAACGCGTGAAGCGATCACTTCGAAAAACAAGTGATGGAGTGTTGTTTTCTAGTGCCTTTCCTTTGATTACTTGGGATACACTCATTTCTCCCATTGAACGTACGTAATTTTGATTCATAGATTGCAATTGATTAGAATTCAAGCTATTTATCATTCCATCACACCATTTTGATGCTCCAGACACACTTGAACACAAATAAACCTAGGGACTGATGGAGAGGCCATTGGGCCGTCAATTTGAGGTTTGGTGGTTACCATCCCAAGGACATGGAAAGAGAGTGGTCCTGAATGAGACATTGGATCACGTACTCGACTAATTATGTACTAGAAAAAACAGTTTTTGTTTTTCGTCTTGGGACATGGAAGCCTCTACCACACTTTGCACCTACCGGCAGAGGGGAAGGAGCCTAAATCAACGGACTTGGACCGCGAAACCAAGCACGTCGCATGCTTGACAGATAGAGTTAGACCCCACAGGACTGCGGAAAGGAAAAACTTTGCCGCAAAGCTGTTTTCAGGACCCCACAGCCTGCAGCAGATGTCCACGGAAAGGTGAAATTTCTCCCGCAAACCGTTTTCCGGGACCCCACAGACCGAAGATTGGGGCTTGGAAAAACATTGTTTTCACATAGCCCGCAGCTTGGAAAGGTCTCACGGGAGGATTCCTCGCTGCAATTGTGTGCCAACTCTAGAGGGTAGGGGGAAGGGCGTGTCGTTCCTGGAAAAGTCTCACGGGAGGCAGCAGCCAATAGCGACCAAGAGTGCCACAAAAAAAAAGGAAAAACAAAGAAAACAAGAACAAAACAAATGAGTGCTGATGGAGAAAGGCAACGATTGGCTCAACTGATTTCCAAAGGGTTTCCACGGCGCATTTGGTCCTCCACGGTGGGGTCCCTGCAATACTGCTTTCCAGCTTTCCAAAATTTTTTGCCCATTTTTTTTGGCCTGATGTTTTTTCCATCCTTTTTCCTGTGGGGTCCACCCCTTAAGAGTTTTTTTTTCGTGATTGTTCGCCAATTTCTTTGACTACGATATTCAATATTTTTCATAGTTGCGGCGCACGTGTGCGGTGCGCGGTGCGCGCCGGTGCGCTGTGCGCTGTGCGCAGGTTTAGCAGCCCGCGCACTGTGCGCTGTGCGCGCGCTGCGGCCTGTGCGCCATGTGCGCAGGAAAAAAAAAAAACATCCCCCCCCCCCCCCCCCCCGACCCCAGCAGCCATACTGACGGAGGAAGAGAGATGGGGAGGAGGTGTGTGTGTGTGTGTGTGTGTGTGTGTGTGTGTGTGTGTGTG